ATGTATAATGTATAATGTATAATGTATAATGTATAATGTGTAATGTGTAATGTATAATGTATAATGTATAATGTGTAATGTATAATGTGTAATGTACAATGTTAATGTGTAATGTGTAATGTGTAATGTATAATGTATAATGTATAATTCATAATGTATATTGTATAATGTATAATGCATAATGCATAATGCATAATGTAGAATGTAGAATGTATAACGTATAATGTATAATGTATAATGCATAATGTATAATATATAATTAAACATCCTTCAATGAGAGATCTGTTGCTCGACACTAGTCGAGTGGACGCCCAGCAGCTGGCTTCAATTCATTGTCAATTTTTTAATTGATTGCTTGATAAACCTTGTTTGCATTTCTTGATGCTATTGTTCTTATCACTTTTACTATTATTGCTTATTCTTATTACTTGTCGGAAGAACCTCAGTCAGTTTCACAGCAGACTGATTTTGTAAAGAGATACATTGTAATCAAATGCTGAAACGCAGCCTCTGCATTGAAACATAACGCAGCAATACATGTAGTCAGTTAACTGTCATGGCATAGACAGCTTAAAGCAATCTAGATCTGGGGAATTTATTTCTTCACTTTCACTATGTTATAAGACTAAAGGAAGGCCTAAACTCAGATATAATGGCAATAAACCAAAAATGTTACCAGCGTAATTTGTACTGATGCTGTAGACAAGTATTATCGTCACACATAATGAAACCATCATCAATCTAAAACCAAGACAAAAATATCTTAGAAGACAAGACTAACATCTTCTAAATCTGCTGCGTGTGTTGTTCATGTGAAGACACATAACAAAATCATGCGAAATCCATAGAATTGTTTTTTGGTTATGATGATATTATTCTTGCCCAATATTTTCAGCCAAATCAAGAGAAAAACATTTGAATTTTGTCCCCTTCGGCTCCCTGTCCACTGACGGAAAATGAAACAAGGCACGCAAACTAGAATTGACGTAATAAAAGCCAACAGCGATATTACTGACCCCACGGCAGTTTTGTACCATTAATTTTGGTACAAAATATCACGAAAGATATACATAAGAAAGTTACATACCTTAGTACCATCCTTAAGTGATATGTGACTCGTTATATGCCCAGTATATATGCAGAATGTCACGGCGAGTATGTTCATTTTATACACGCTGGTAGACGAGACGTGCTACAGCTCGTCCCAAAACTTATTGGATTTTCAGGAGATAACAGGAGGATTTGCCTATCATACGAGCTGGGAATAAATAAATGAAGAACAATTTTACGAACTGGTAAACAAGGCCAACAAAACAAAGGACAATTATCCTTGCCGCGATTATTAAAATCCGTGAAATACTTTATTATCAATATATAAGTGTCCGTGTGGGAAAAGAAATTTGTTCATAAAGCGGCAACCGTGTAATCAACAGGATGCCGGATTACTTTGTATCGAAGTTCAATCTGCAGCAGTTATTTTGATTAAATGTTTTTCTGATTAAATGTTATTTTGATTAAATAATATCTTGATTAAATATTATTTTGATTAAAGTCAAGACGAGGACCGCCCAAATCGGACTTGAGCCGGATCTCTTCAGGACCGCCGCTTTATCAGCTCATCAGAAACCGACACCCTTCGATATTGCACCACTTAAGATGAAAAATATCAACTGTGCCCAAGCAAAGAGAACGGTCAATAATTCATGCCTGCCATGACAAACAGTAAGTCGGATAGCCGCGTCGACATTAATATTCTATTTGGTTTTCAGCTGCGGACCAAAACATTTCCATCTGAGGGCGTTTTCACCTTAAAGATCTTGAAGAAATTCTGGCTGCGAACTCCAAATATTTCATTATACGTACAATCACTGATTCTCACAAATCAGTTTCTATGTCTGTTGGTTTGTTTGTTTGCTTGTTTGTTTGTTTGTTTTAATCAATCAGACCTTGCTTAACTTTCTATCAGCGGTTTACGCAGTCGCGGGTCGGATTTCAGAGACAGGAGAAGTCTCGTGGAAATTACCCTGGGTGCCAGAGGTTTTTCCTGCGCGGTTTCCGGTGTCGATCATGTCTCTATTGTGACCCGCGCGAAGTATTTTCGTCTGCTGCGCGCGATAAAAAACCTCTGGTACCCAGGGTACGTGGAACTCGGTCTGAATTCCACTCGTTCCTTGCGCAGTTCACGCCAGCTCGCGCGCGAGCATTATAATTTATGTGTCATTTCGCTGATTTCAATGAGCAATTTTAACTGACAATCAATTTTAAGTCTGAATCAATATTTTCAGACAGCTGAAGTTTGTGTAAATATTCACCGAACTAAGCGTTGCTCTCCGGCTGGACCCTATTGTAATATCCTTAACTTTGCTGCGCATGATCGATCATGTCATCACAAAGAAAGTAATGCTCAAAGTTCACACTCTTAAATATTTTTGTACAGTAATATTGTACCTTAAAAAACTAATGATTAGCTCAGCTTGAACAGCAAATAACTCAAGATAACACAATGAAATTCCTTTACACATTTATGTCTTTGTGATGCAAACTATTTTAATCACAAAGTATTACAAATTCAAAAAGTTGGATTACAGGATTAATTACAGAATCAGCGGCAAAAATATTCTACAAGCATTCCGTGAACGTTTTCTTTTCTATTATAAACAGCTACCGTTAATCTCTGTAACTATATAGTTTATAAATAGCAACATAGCCGCATAAATACTCCTCATTCGTACAGATTATCAGCAGGACCGTTCTCTCGTATCATCCACTCTGTAGGTCAGGCGCCCAACAAAAAATATGAACAATTTTCTTTTGACACGTACGTTGGGGAGTTCAGTGTTCACTGAATCAGTAGCGACCTTCGGGAACCTGGTCAGTTGTTTTACAGTCAAATGACGCATAAAGTGATGTTACACGAACATTACACATTAACTTTACAAATGTCACACTCTGGTAACTGTTTGACCAGTTCATTGTACATTTACACAACCTCGAAAAATATTATTCTGTCTCTGAATATCAAGGCAACACGCCCGGGCAACACGTAAGTTACCTATGACCAAATTGAATCAACTGCACTCCAGTCATCTCTATCCTTGCGCGTTACACTGATCAAGAGCGGAACACAGAATCGACCCAATACTGTTGTCATTGTTTATGAATAAATATTCTATAGCTGTTTAAAATAATTAGTAACTTTGCACACAGAGCACAGTTTTCGGGCACTCGTTTTAATAATAGCTGTTTAAGAGATTCCCGGTACCTTTTTAACTCAGTTCAGGTGCCTTTTATCAACAACCGACTCGGCACATATTACTGCTGGTCACCGTCAGTGAAATCTTGAATTTATTATTTACATTGAAGTACACGAATCTACATCCTTGAATATTTCCTGTAGTATTGTAGTTTGTTATTTCACCTCCAGTAGGATATCTTGCGTCCCTTTTGGGAACGTTCAAGTCTTTTAAGATAGTCCTGTTTCTGTTTATTGTAGTAAAACTCTCCGGCACCTTCCTTGATAAGTATAGCGGCACATTCCGTCTTGCCAGCTCGAATGGCTGTGTGCATGGGCGGCCAACCAGATTCATCCAAAACGTTTATATCTGCGCCATTTTTAATTAGTTCTTTCAGCAATTCTGAGTTACCATCCAAAACAACTTGATGCAGTTGTGGAAGTTGTGATTCTTGTTTCTCTTCGTCTTCCTTGCGACGACCTTGAGGGTGTGGAATGCTTGCGTTCGCTTCTTCACTATTATCACTATCTACTTTACCTTCTTCGTGCTCTACAATGTCCGTAAGCGCTCGTCTGCGAAACATTGTCATCAGGCTCTCGTCTGGTAAACTCAATTTACGTGTAGGCTGCATATTGTGCGGCAGCAAGTTCATATATTAATAAGTCCCGCTGTGCAAACTTCACTTGATCTTGTGTAAACAAATATAGCACTAATCACAATCAACTAAACAACTGACCACGTTAAAACCTGATAAAACGAGCATGAAGATCCACCATGGTGCAATGAATAGTGTTTAAAAGGTCAATATATAGAGAAAAAAATCGTTGAACAACAGCACGAACTTGGTTGGTTCTTCTAACACATAACACAACACACTCGTCGCCAATCAGTATATAAATCAGAGGACCTTAATCTCTAAGTGCGTGGGACATGATAGCTAATTAGCCCGTCTAATAAGTTGCAAGTGCTAATGATTTGACGAACACTTTTGTTAGCGAATCTCGCTCTTGTTGGATTGCACACATTTGGATACTAGTAGTGTTCCATGAGATGTGTTCGAGCTTTCAAAGCAATGCTTTTAAAGAACAGAGCCATCACGAACTGAATGGCACGTAAGTGCATGTTTCTTATCCACGATGAAAGGAAGAAAGGACTTACATTAACAAAGCATATGGGATCAAATCTGCAATGCATGTGGGTTGATTGCATTCATACTCACCAATTATCACAACAGTTCAAAAACAGTTTGAACAATCCAACATATCTAATATTGTATTTACCACCGAATATATAAGCTGCCAACCGTATCGTTTTAAAAAAGAACTGATTAAAAATTATGACTTGTCAAAGGTACTTTTTGTTACTGTATTATGCTTCGCCGGGCATGGAGTATGCCTGGTCAGTAATGGCTTTATAATGACAGCATCAATAAATCTTTTTTCACTCCAGTCTGTCATTGCATTTACATAACAACTCATAAATTCGCTAACTTGTTTACCTTCCGTTACCTTCATACAATACGTGAAAAAGTACAATCGAACAAAGGCAAAAGCATTCAAAAATTTCATTGAAAACTCTGATTGAAAATAGACGTTAAAGCACAAATTTGTTCAAAAACCTACGTCCGTTCCCGTCAGGCACCGATGCAAAACTGAACAGAACAATCAAAATCGTCAAATCGATCAAATTTTCTCATTCAGTGACGTTACTGAATGGCAAATATTTCCCTGCTGGGCTCACACAAAGCTTTGCTACAAGGTATTGCGAAAAGAGTTATCGCCATTCAAATAAAGCTTAATGCGAAGATGATAGGCAATAAGTGGCGTTTACCAGGTGACCTTCCCATTTAACTGCTATAAGAATCGAAAATTCATTGATAGTATAACAGGCTAATCTTGGTACTTACGGATCTGTTTACAATTTGGTTAATCTAACTGAAGTTTGCTCATTCTCTTTTCTTGAGGCATTTGCCTCACGGGATATCACTCTAAAGGTCTGTAGAAATTTGCAGTGACGATCATTATGACAATATCGGCTGTGCTGTTTTCCAGTTGCAAACACGTGCATAAAATGTCTTAAATGAACATTGGTGTTTTGACCCAAAATGTCAGTCATTTGCGGTTCTTACACTAACTGGTCTAACCGGCCTAACTGGCCAAAACTGATGAGAGAAAACCAGCCTTTCGTCAAACCAAAGATGGTTTAAATATGAGCAAAATATCGCCTTATATATGAAGATGGCTCTGAACCCTCTCCACAGCCTAATTACAATTACAAAACTAAAACAGGTGTCACCAGGCTTGTTTTTTTGTAAGGGTATTTTGAAAAGTTTACACTGTTGCTATGGTAATCTATTACCAATGATTAGGCANATGTATAATGTATAATGTATAATGTATAATGTATAATGTGTAATGTGTAATGTATAATGTATAATGTATAATGTGTAATGTATAATGTGTAATGTACAATGTTAATGTGTAATGTGTAATGTGTAATGTATAATGTATAATGTATAATTCATAATGTATATTGTATAATGTATAATGCATAATGCATAATGCATAATGTAGAATGTAGAATGTATAACGTATAATGTATAATGTATAATGCATAATGTATAATATATAATTAAACATCCTTCAATGAGAGATCTGTTGCTCGACACTAGTCGAGTGGACGCCCAGCAGCTGGCTTCAATTCATTGTCAATTTTTTAATTGATTGCTTGATAAACCTTGTTTGCATTTCTTGATGCTATTGTTCTTATCACTTTTACTATTATTGCTTATTCTTATTACTTGTCGGAAGAACCTCAGTCAGTTTCACAGCAGACTGATTTTGTAAAGAGATACATTGTAATCAAATGCTGAAACGCAGCCTCTGCATTGAAACATAACGCAGCAATACATGTAGTCAGTTAACTGTCATGGCATAGACAGCTTAAAGCAATCTAGATCTGGGGAATTTATTTCTTCACTTTCACTATGTTATAAGACTAAAGGAAGGCCTAAACTCAGATATAATGGCAATAAACCAAAAATGTTACCAGCGTAATTTGTACTGATGCTGTAGACAAGTATTATCGTCACACATAATGAAACCATCATCAATCTAAAACCAAGACAAAAATATCTTAGAAGACAAGACTAACATCTTCTAAATCTGCTGCGTGTGTTGTTCATGTGAAGACACATAACAAAATCATGCGAAATCCATAGAATTGTTTTTTGGTTATGATGATATTATTCTTGCCCAATATTTTCAGCCAAATCAAGAGAAAAACATTTGAATTTTGTCCCCTTCGGCTCCCTGTCCACTGACGGAAAATGAAACAAGGCACGCAAACTAGAATTGACGTAATAAAAGCCAACAGCGATATTACTGACCCCACGGCAGTTTTGTACCATTAATTTTGGTACAAAATATCACGAAAGATATACATAAGAAAGTTACATACCTTAGTACCATCCTTAAGTGATATGTGACTCGTTATATGCCCAGTATATATGCAGAATGTCACGGCGAGTATGTTCATTTTATACACGCTGGTAGACGAGACGTGCTACAGCTCGTCCCAAAACTTATTGGATTTTCAGGAGATAACAGGAGGATTTGCCTATCATACGAGCTGGGAATAAATAAATGAAGAACAATTTTACGAACTGGTAAACAAGGCCAACAAAACAAAGGACAATTATCCTTGCCGCGATTATTAAAATCCGTGAAATACTTTATTATCAATATATAAGTGTCCGTGTGGGAAAAGAAATTTGTTCATAAAGCGGCAACCGTGTAATCAACAGGATGCCGGATTACTTTGTATCGAAGTTCAATCTGCAGCAGTTATTTTGATTAAATGTTTTTCTGATTAAATGTTATTTTGATTAAATAATATCTTGATTAAATATTATTTTGATTAAAGTCAAGACGAGGACCGCCCAAATCGGACTTGAGCCGGATCTCTTCAGGGCCGCCGCTTTATCAGCTCATCAGAAACCGACACCCTTCGATATTGCACCACTTAAGATGAAAAATATCAACTGTGCCCAAGCAAAGAGAACGGTCAATAATTCATGCCTGCCATGACAAACAGTAAGTCGGATAGCCGCGTCGACATTAATATTCTATTTGGTTTTCAGCTGCGGACCAAAACATTTCCATCTGAGGGCGTTTTCACCTTAAAGATCTTGAAGAAATTCTGGCTGCGAACTCCAAATATTTCATTATACGTACAATCACTGATTCTCACAAATCAGTTTCTATGTCTGTTGGTTTGTTTGTTTGCTTGTTTGTTTGTTTGTTTTAATCAATCAGACCTTGCTTAACTTTCTATCAGCGGTTTACGCAGTCGCGGGTCGGATTTCAGAGACAGGAGAAGTCTCGTGGAAATTACCCTGGGTGCCAGAGGTTTTTCCTGCGCGGTTTCCGGTGTCGATCATGTCTCTATTGTGACCCGCGCGAAGTATTTTCGTCTGCTGCGCGCGATAAAAAACCTCTGGTACCCAGGGTACGTGGAACTCGGTCTGAATTCCACTCGTTCCTTGCGCAGTTCACGCCAGCTCGCGCGCGAGCATTATAATTTATGTGTCATTTCGCTGATTTCAATGAGCAATTTTAACTGACAATCAATTTTAAGTCTGAATCAATATTTTCAGACAGCTGAAGTTTGTGTAAATATTCACCGAACTAAGCGTTGCTCTCCGGCTGGACCCTATTGTAATATCCTTAACTTTGCTGCGCATGATCGATCATGTCATCACAAAGAAAGTAATGCTCAAAGTTCACACTCTTAAATATTTTTGTACAGTAATATTGTACCTTAAAAAACTAATGATTAGCTCAGCTTGAACAGCAAATAACTCAAGATAACACAATGAAATTCCTTTACACATTTATGTCTTTGTGATGCAAACTATTTTAATCACAAAGTATTACAAATTCAAAAAGTTGGATTACAGGATTAATTACAGAATCAGCGGCAAAAATATTCTACAAGCATTCCGTGAACGTTTTCTTTTCTATTATAAACAGCTACCGTTAATCTCTGTAACTATATAGTTTATAAATAGCAACATAGCCGCATAAATACTCCTCATTCGTACAGATTATCAGCAGGACCGTTCTCTCGTATCATCCACTCTGTAGGTCAGGCGCCCAACAAAAAATATGAACAATTTTCTTTTGACACGTACGTTGGGGAGTTCAGTGTTCACTGAATCAGTAGCGACCTTCGGGAACCTGGTCAGTTGTTTTACAGTCAAATGACGCATAAAGTGATGTTACACGAACATTACACATTAACTTTACAAATGTCACACTCTGGTAACTGTTTGACCAGTTCATTGTACATTTACACAACCTCGAAAAATATTATTCTGTCTCTGAATATCAAGGCAACACGCCCGGGCAACACGTAAGTTACCTATGACCAAATTGAATCAACTGCACTCCAGTCATCTCTATCCTTGCGCGTTACACTGATCAAGAGCGGAACACAGAATCGACCCAATACTGTTGTCATTGTTTATGAATAAATATTCTATAGCTGTTTAAAATAATTAGTAACTTTGCACACAGAGCACAGTTTTCGGGCACTCGTTTTAATAATAGCTGTTTAAGAGATTCCCGGTACCTTTTTAACTCAGTTCAGGTGCCTTTTATCAACAACCGACTCGGCACATATTACTGCTGGTCACCGTCAGTGAAATCTTGAATTTATTATTTACATTGAAGTACACGAATCTACATCCTTGAATATTTCCTGTAGTATTGTAGTTTGTTATTTCACCTCCAGTAGGATATCTTGCGTCCCTTTTGGGAACGTTCAAGTCTTTTAAGATAGTCCTGTTTCTGTTTATTGTAGTAAAACTCTCCGGCACCTTCCTTGATAAGTATAGCGGCACATTCCGTCTTGCCAGCTCGAATGGCTGTGTGCATGGGCGGCCAACCAGATTCATCCAAAACGTTTATATCTGCGCCATTTTTAATTAGTTCTTTCAGCAATTCTGAGTTACCATCCAAAACAACTTGATGCAGTTGTGGAAGTTGTGATTCTTGTTTCTCTTCGTCTTCCTTGCGACGACCTTGAGGGTGTGGAATGCTTGCGTTCGCTTCTTCACTATTATCACTATCTACTTTACCTTCTTCGTGCTCTACAATGTCCGTAAGCGCTCGTCTGCGAAACATTGTCATCAGGCTCTCGTCTGGTAAACTCAATTTACGTGTAGGCTGCATATTGTGCGGCAGCAAGTTCATATATTAATAAGTCCCGCTGTGCAAACTTCACTTGATCTTGTGTAAACAAATATAGCACTAATCACAATCAACTAAACAACTGACCACGTTAAAACCTGATAAAACGAGCATGAAGATCCACCATGGTGCAATGAATAGTGTTTAAAAGGTCAATATATAGAGAAAAAAATCGTTGAACAACAGCACGAACTTGGTTGGTTCTTCTAACACATAACACAACACACTCGTCGCCAATCAGTATATAAATCAGAGGACCTTAATCTCTAAGTGCGTGGGACATGATAGCTAATTAGCCCGTCTAATAAGTTGCAAGTGCTAATGATTTGACGAACACTTTTGTTAGCGAATCTCGCTCTTGTTGGATTGCACACATTTGGATACTAGTAGTGTTCCATGAGATGTGTTCGAGCTTTCAAAGCAATGCTTTTAAAGAACAGAGCCATCACGAACTGAATGGCACGTAAGTGCATGTTTCTTATCCACGATGAAAGGAAGAAAGGACTTACATTAACAAAGCATATGGGATCAAATCTGCAATGCATGTGGGTTGATTGCATTCATACTCACCAATTATCACAACAGTTCAAAAACAGTTTGAACAATCCAACATATCTAATATTGTATTTACCACCGAATATATAAGCTGCCAACCGTATCGTTTTAAAAAAGAACTGATTAAAAATTATGACTTGTCAAAGGTACTTTTTGTTACTGTATTATGCTTCGCCGGGCATGGAGTATGCCTGGTCAGTAATGGCTTTATAATGACAGCATCAATAAATCTTTTTTCACTCCAGTCTGTCATTGCATTTACATAACAACTCATAAATTCGCTAACTTGTTTACCTTCCGTTACCTTCATACAATACGTGAAAAAGTACAATCGAACAAAGGCAAAAGCATTCAAAAATTTCATTGAAAACTCTGATTGAAAATAGACGTTAAAGCACAAATTTGTTCAAAAACCTACGTCCGTTCCCGTCAGGCACCGATGCAAAACTGAACAGAACAATCAAAATCGTCAAATCGATCAAATTTTCTCATTCAGTGACGTTACTGAATGGCAAATATTTCCCTGCTGGGCTCACACAAAGCTTTGCTACAAGGTATTGCGAAAAGAGTTATCGCCATTCAAATAAAGCTTAATGCGAAGATGATAGGCAATAAGTGGCGTTTACCAGGTGACCTTCCCATTTAACTGCTATAAGAATCGAAAATTCATTGATAGTATAACAGGCTAATCTTGGTACTTACGGATCTGTTTACAATTTGGTTAATCTAACTGAAGTTTGCTCATTCTCTTTTCTTGAGGCATTTGCCTCACGGGATATCACTCTAAAGGTCTGTAGAAATTTGCAGTGACGATCATTATGACAATATCGGCTGTGCTGTTTTCCAGTTGCAAACACGTGCATAAAATGTCTTAAATGAACATTGGTGTTTTGACCCAAAATGTCAGTCATTTGCGGTTCTTACACTAACTGGTCTAACCGGCCTAACTGGCCAAAACTGATGAGAGAAAACCAGCCTTTCGTCAAACCAAAGATGGTTTAAATATGAGCAAAATATCGCCTTATATATGAAGATGGCTCTGAACCCTCTCCACAGCCTAATTACAATTACAAAACTAAAACAGGTGTCACCAGGCTTGTTTTTTTGTAAGGGTATTTTGAAAAGTTTACACTGTTGCTATGGTAATCTATTACCAATGATTAGGCATTTGCTTGATACTTTGTAGCATAATCCGACTGATTCATTTTAACTAGTATAAGTGATAAAAAGAGCATCAAACTGTTGTCAGCCACCTTAAACGACAAAAAACTACTCATAAATGTAATCTTATCTTTTAAAATTCCTCGCTGGCCACAGAATGTCAACGAAATTCTTCATGTCACGTTAGAGATCCCTTCTTTATAGGGTGTCACGAAAACTCAGACCCCGAAAACTCAGATCTCAGACCCCGAAACCTCAGACCCCAAAAACGCAGACCCCGAAAACTCAGACCCCTCGTAATTAAAAACTCAATTGTTATCACCTGAATTGCTCTACGGTCACGCAATGTTAATAGGCAACAGCCACGCTGGAGCGTAAAGGTAAAAACACGTAAAAATTCAACACGTAGAAAACACGTAAAGGTCGAACCGATTGAACCGCCATGTCTGGTCTAGAAATGTGAGCGAACGAAAATTGAAAATTGGCGCGAAGGCCCCGCCGCGAGGCAGATTTAATAAACTAAACCAGGCGGTATCATGAGAAAAAAAAATAGAAGTGTTTGGTTTTAAACTTACTGTTTCCTGTAAGAAATATTCACTATTCCCGTTATAAGTTGGAACGCAAACATGGCTATCTCTATGTACTCTTTTTTTCTCTTTTCTTTTTTTTTTTTCTCTAAATTTGTTAATTTCTGCGGGTTGCGTGCCGACAGTCACGCAACGCACATAAAGTCAAAAAGCAGATTGCAATGAAATCTCCGTGTTTTCACTTTAAGCTCAAACGAGTATGTTTCAGAGAACAACAAATTTTTTTTGCTGCCTACGATTACATAAAAAAGGTCTGTTTTGAAGAACAGTGTCGGCTGCTGTTCTAAACCTTGTTAGTGTTTCACCGTTTGACCGACGCGAGAGCGATAATCCTGAGAAGTTAAATATTTGTTTTTCACTGTTCGATCGACGCGACCACATAGACCGGATAAGATAAAAATCTCGCCCCATTGTGGCCGTAAAGCAATTCAGGTGATAACAATTGAGTTTTTAATCTCGAGGGGTCTGAGGTTTCGGGGTCTGAGTTTTCGGAGTCTGAGTTTTCGGGGTCTGAGGTTTCGGGGTCTCAGGTCCGAGGTCTGAGGTCTGAGTTTTCGGGGTCTAAGCTTTCGTGACACCCTACTTTATGTCGCGTCGCCCAATAAACAGATTATATAACGCCTTTGTGATGAGAAAAATATTATTTACGAACTGATAGAACATGAATCGCGTTAAACCAGGGAAAGCATTTGTCATTGGTGTTCTTACGGTTGGACTTTGGGTAATATTAGTCGTCGTTTATCTGTTTAGCCGTCAGAAAACCATTCCTAATGTGGCGTCTTTTCAAAATCAGTCCACATCTACAAGTGGGACAATTGTTGACCTGTTAGAGAGCAGCCGGTCGAAAGATCATTACAACATTAACAGACATTTCGAGCTCGAAGATATTCTGAAGGGTTTGAACAAGCATACTTGGGAAAGGTACTGTCAGAGCGGCTTAGAACAACTATGCAATTATCCAATTTTTCCTAAAGCGCCTGATAAAAGGAATTTTGTTCAGAATGTTAACATCATGTCTACGGTTAACGAAGTTGACGGCGCTGTTCGACTACTGGGCTACGTTCGACCAAATGCAACAGGAGAATATCAATTCTTGGTGACAACAAATGGCTTTGCTGAAGTTTGGCTCAGTCCCAGCATGAACTGGAAGGACGCTAAGAAAATTGCTTATGGCAAGCCTCAACATCTAAGATCAACGTTAAAGCAACTGTCCTTTGAAGCAATGAAATCCCAGATTTCGGAGACAGTGAGTTTATTAGCCAGACAGAAATACTATTTCGAAGTGATATATGTTAAAACTGATACGAAAAGTGGCGAACAGTTAATTCAAGTCGCTTGGAAAAGACCAGACAGAACTGAATTTGAACTAATTGAGGGAGAGTATTTCTCTTTGTACACAGAGGACAGTGACAAGGCTAAATTGAAAATCTACGACGAAGAGTTGCCAGATGTCCTTGCTTGTGTGGAACTGCGGAGACGATTTGCGAACAAGTACATGAGGCCAGACACGCTTCCTTACTTGTCAAGAGCGGCAGTGGACAAGACGTTACCACTCTGTGAATATAAACCAAGTTATCTTCTTGATCCTGCGAATTTGCCGCGTGACTTAAAACTGTACCACGGTGTGAAAAACGTTCAAAAAACATACACGTATCCATTTCAAAGCATAAGTGGAGTGTTACGGAGTGCAAAGGTTGCGCGGACAGTCAGGAAAACGTTTCTAGCTGAATTGCCATTAAGTGATCTTGAAGCATTGTCAATTGTACGCATATACTGTAATGTTATGAAAAGGACGTATTCCAGGTAAGTGAAAAACAGAGACTATTGCGTTAGTCCGGTGAAAGGTTTTAGTTATGACATGCTGAGAATAACCCCGGGGGATCTCTGCAAAGCTTTTTAAGGGGAGGCCGCGTTCCGGGGCTCAACCCCATATTCGTTTGTATACTATTTAGACACTGCATCCCTTTTCTAAACCCTTGGAATGAAGTTGATGAACGATTTTACGGGAGAACATCAGAAATTACCGGATACAGCCACAAGGTGTGTCTGTTCGAAATGTATCTTAATTAAAGGCCCTTTTAAAAACATAACTGACAGATTTCCCTACCCTTTCGTATACCTAGCCTCAACTTATGAAATCCCTGTCCTTTTATATACCTGAAGCCTGAAAAAGATACCCCTTTCGTGGGCAGCTTCCCCGTATGGGCCATTATAGGGAGCACCGCCCGGGGAATAACCCTATGATGTCATCAAGTGCTGATCAATGATATCCATCAGAACCTCTTATTTTTTTTTTAATTACAACGTATTTCGCTCTGTAAGTCTAGATAAACTAAATAATTTATGTAATCAGAAGCAAGGTGTTTAGACTGAGATCCTATCGTACGAGGGGCATTTTGGTAGATAGCATGAGTCTTGGCATCATGCCTTTTTCTTCA